GAACGTCGAAGTAAAATAATTCTACGTCTTAATTTGCATACGATTTCTTATTTATTGTTTTAAAAATATCCTCAACTGTATGATAGAAAGTCTTCGAATTACTATTTTTCTGTAACGAAAAAATCGCCGAATGCAAAGGGTTAATCCTTTGCGCTCGAGAGGCGCCCTTCAGTCGCCATTTGATAAAATTTCGAAACTCGATATTCATAAATATGTGAAATTTCAGATAATGTAACGGTGTGCGAGGTATCGAAATCAAATAATTTGACGTGTTAATTATCAGACGACTTCTTATTCACTGCTCAAAAAAATATCGTCAGTTTTGTAACAGAAAATCTTTCAACTCCTATCCTTTTTTGGTCAAAAAGTCGTCAAGTGCAAAGGGTTAAAATATCGTTCGATAAAGAGACAGAATCTTCGCTGAGTTCGTCAACGATCTAGATTACCTATAGAGGGTTCGGAATACTTTTCTGCAAAATAGGAAAAATGTGAACCATCGTGTTTCCTTCGAGCATACACTGCTTCCACTCCTTCAACCGAACAAATGAATAATCCATTATCAATCGACACTACAGTACTCGGTATTGCTATCTACACAGTGCTACAGCACGTTGGATTAGTATATTCACTGATCATTTAAATTCCATAGTAATTCTAGAAGGATCGGTGGATAGATCAATTATGTCTACAGATGTTAACCCTTCGGACTCGAAGATTTCTTCGTTATAAAGATGCAATTCGAAGCTCTTCTTAGATTTTTACAAGCTTACTGATAATACTCTTTATGCTAAAATTAAAAAAAGAAAATCGTGAATTTGCGTAAGAAACGAACGAATAGAATAATTTTATTTCGATGTTTTTAATATAATTATCAACATCCATTATTTAAGTTATAGCATTAAAACAAACGGTGACTGAGAGTCACCTCTCGAGTGCAAAGGGTTAATAATCGATAATACCGTACTGAGTACCGTACCCTGATCTAAGAGCGAGAACGTCTCGAGGTCCCCAAAGCTAAGTCAAGCAATCCCGTTTGTTTTACCATATCGTCTCGTTTCATAATTCGTATAAATAACCGTCCTTTGCATAGACAGAAAATGAGATCAGCCACGAAAGAGCGGCTAATCGAATCGAATTAATCCCGGAATTCAAATGCAACCCGCGCAAGATCCAATTTTAGAGTCCTAACCTTTGCAGACGCCACGATTCTTCCTCGCGACTATGAAGGATCGTTGTGCAAGCAACCTAACCGAAAGTGCGTATAGACCAGTGCCTGTTGGATTAATTCGGCGGTTAGTAACGCTTCTCCGACGATATACCGACAAGAAAGCGTCGTTGAACGACTACAGCAGCCAACCGTGGCAGCCAAGAGCGCCTGACCGAATCATATGGGAGAAACAGATCTGCACCAGTCGCTGGACTTCGTTTTTCACTGTATTTTATTTTCGTAAACGAAAGACGATACTTGGCCGAGCGCGAACGTCTATTTCGCGCGAGCCTCGCGATCGAGGATCGAGCAGTCCCAATCGGACGCCGCCTCGTGGAAAATCGCGCGGCTTTTCCCCGCGAACCAGAGATCGTTCCGCGCTCTTTCGGGCTCGTGTAAACGAAACTGTAAATTGTAACCGGTGACGCGAGGTTTGCTTCGGATTTACGGTCTGCTCCTCTTAACGTCGAGCGCCCTGTCGGTCACCGACACTTTAATCCTCTATAAATCTAGGGTCTAACATCGGGAACTAGCAAACAAACGTGAGTTAAGAGAGTTAAACAAGACGACGGTTAAATTATAAATCGCGAAACCTTTCGTAACCATTGTGTATCACAATTAAAGTCACCCGAGACTCGAGGACGAAACGTATTGTTCGCGGTCATTTCGACTAAATGCGGAACCCGAGATAAATTGAGGTACTGCGCCGATTATGAACGATCTTTAACGAAATCCACCCGAAATCGGGGTAGGAAGATCTGGCGCGTTAAAGTATTACGATGCAGATGAAGGAATAATACGAGTGTGTAAACACGTTAATTTGTTTACGAAAATCTGGGTGAAGAAACACGCGGTGGATTAACATAAGCGAAACGTAACGAGTTGCCAACGAACAACGGAGGCAGAATTTTTTCGGATATTTTTATTCTGGCAAAGAGAGCAAGCAGTGCTTACTTCTCGCAGGGAGAATCAAATATTTAAACTAAAACTTTCTTCTTCTTTTTTTTTTTTTTTTTTTTTTTTTTTTTTTTTTATATGAATTCTTTAAAACGTCAGAGACGAGATTCCATTATTGTGAATAATACCGTGGTTTGAAATAACTAGGAATAAATAGAATAAAAGCCAACTATATCTGACGGAAAATGAACGGATTCGTATCGCGCAATCGAAGCTTTATACGTCAAGGCTTGACTTTCCGACCTCGAAAACGCTGCGAGCGCAAAATACACAGGATCCTGATTGTAGGAATGTAAATCGGGAAATGTACCATAATCAGCATCTGTGGTCGCGAATCAGCTGTTGATAACGCGATAATCGGCGTGTTTTCAGAGCGACGTAGTACCAGAACAAGTGCGTCATTCGCTGCAAGAGTTTGCATTCGTTAAGACGACGAAAATGGAGGACAGGAATAGATAAGAGAAGAAAAAATTCTCTGACGATCCTCTTGTGATCGGTAATGAACCCAAACCAAGTACAAAGTATTCGCGTTTCGTCGAGATCTCTTCTACAGCCGTGCAAGTCGGGATCGTTTTTAGATCGCGTAAATTACCTCGATTATTTATCGGCGTTCCTCGCGGAGCGAGAGAAGAATATCTGGCACTCGATGTTTAGTCAACCGAAAGACCGTTTTGCGAAAATAAACGGTGGACGCCATGTGCGATTGCAGGATTCGATTGATTCGATACTAGGATACCGATTACGAGAAAAGAAAAAAGAAGAGCAGCAGAAGATAGGAGAGCCATTCTATGAACGTAACGGTTCTGCTTTACGTGTCTCACGAGCGTGATGTGGGTATTTTCCCGAGCGTTGGAGTCATTCATGGATCGTCGAATCGATTCGACAGCACGCTAACTGGTTTCGATATCGAATTGGAAAGTGTTCGCGATGAGTAGAGTAGTGTCATGCGTGTCACGCTATCGAGGCTCTAACTCTTTCAGGAGTGCGACCCCGCATGCGGGTAGAATGGAGGCTCCATATGGATTAAGGTCTCGCGGTTGCTGTTATGTCATTGAATATTCTCTCGAATTTTTTAACCGCAACGTCGAGGAATAGCTCGACAAAGACGACATATGCAACGTACATTGCAAATGGAAAGGTGTTTGATCTGGAGCAGCCTTTGTCGCGGGAAGTACTAGGTCATCCTACAAACAGTGCCGTTTCTTTTAGCTGTTTGCCTTCGAAGGAGAAATATTTAGCTTGAATTATTCAACCAACTCGAGAAACAGTAAATGAGCAACTCACGTACCTTAGACCTTTCACCTTAAATTGGAGCACATGTACGATAATTACCGAGAAACTGAATAAAGTAATAGCATGAAACAATGCTTATCACCGATCATCTAACTTCGTTCTTCTTTTCATTTTCTTTCCCCTTTCTTTCGTGTCGAAACGCAATCGAACCTGCTGATGGAACGTTAATTGCAAATCCTCGATATCCAACTGATTCCCTTCATTCCCACTGAAATAGACTCAAACGAATAAATTAAACATTAACGAAGTGAGTATTGAGAACGTCAACAGATTCCTTTCGGCAAATGCAGTGTAATTTCCATCCACTGAGTCGTTTTCAATGGAAAAAGCGTATTAAATTATGCGTGACCGTTCGTTAAACGCGTTTCCAATCGATTTTACGTCGTCAACCAGCAGGTATTCCAGGCTGCTTCAGAAAAGGTGTAACGTATATCTTCCGACTGGTCGTCCGTGAATGCCGTGATTCTAATGATTCAAGGCTACTATTGACAATCCACGACCTATTATTATTTTCAAATACAACGCTCAGCTGGGAACAACCTTGCGGTGCTACACGTTTTCTTCCACCTTTAATATCGACTGACAAGTGAAAAAGGGAGAATTTTCTTTTTTCAACTAGTTTGAAGATTGATATTAATCCTGAGAGCTGTTTAATTGAATAACGATTAGCATAAGTAGCTTACCGGGCTTTTATCGAACACTTAATTCCAATTTTATCGTTCAACGCTATCGATGATTTTATACCTATTTGCGATCGTTATCAACGAAGTGATCGTTATTATACGGGTATACGAAATAAATAAAATTAAAATTTTTCTCAAGGGAAGTTTTTGAGTATTACGTTATTTAAATATTTGAATAGCCTTTTAAAAGTTTAATGTAATAAACATATATTTGATGGTGGTATGTAGACGTAGAGGAAACTAATGCTTATAAATATTCTTTTCCGTCCTGATAGATTCAGATTTATTTGAGAGATTAACGGACTATATTAAATAGGAGAATATATGTATGTTGAATAATTCCGAGTATTTTATCGATGCGGGCCATTGAGGAAACTTCGAACACGTGTACCAAAGCACTGGCAGTGAAACCGTGCATGGTGGGGGTAAATATCGCGCGTCGTGCACGGACCAATGCTAGCAATCACTTTTACCGTGAAAATAGCCTTTTTTGAATAACAAATTTTCGGTACACTAAACAATAAATACGCAACATCGTCTTTCAATCGTCCCTAAAATGTCTTTAATTTCAAAGCTCCTTTTTTTTGGAACTCTTTAACTGGAATATAAATATGTACAGCTTTCTCAGATTTATAGGTTAGTTACAATAAGCAGCATGTTATGCTGCTACTTTATGACCCTTTTACGTTACTGATAATAAACGATAAGCTATTTAATTACATCTTGGAAACATAAAATTGACTTATTGATTGATACGTAAAGATTGTGTGTAATAAGAGTAGAAAATCATTGCATGTACGAACCATTGGTATAGCACAGCCAGAGACATAAGTAGAGACATAGGAAATGAGTGTACTTACCATTGAAACCATACTTCTCCTGGTTCCTCTTGACTTGATCAAGTCCTAATCCCTTCTCAGGTTCAACGTTAAAGTAATTTAAAACCTCGTCCACTGTCTTGCAATGGCCGTCCTCCATGGTTACCTCTTTATTAGTACGTCACTAATCTTATCTATTCAGTGGCTGTCCACGTTCATTCACACTGCAGTTTTCTGTAATTCCAACAAACGGTAAATTATAGATTAAAACGTTGAATCCTTCAAACAACGTATTCATTAATATCAGTATACGCACAAACAGACTGATATACATGATAGGTGCATAAAGTACAAATGACAAAAGTATAATTCATCGAGAGAAACTGAAAACACTAAATAAACAAATGAAATAATAGGACAGATATAAACGTTTCAATACATTTTAATTTCGACTATTCTGAAAATTCGGATAATTAAAAAAAACTAAAATCTTTTAAATAAATTGTACATTCTGCTTTAGAATTTTGCAAAAATTCACAATTCGAAGAAACGTATCGAAATAAATATTGTAATAAAGTAGCCTAAACAGGAACCACGAGAAAGTCACCGCGTGTTCACGATTACGATTCCAACCGCTTCAGGTTAAACCCTCGTCGAGCACCGAAACTTTTCAAAGTGTTCACACCGTGATTTTGCCTGATCGTTCGACACCAAATATACAACGCAGTTCAATAACGGGTGGAAACTCACCAGGGACTAGGACGAAGTATTCGTCGACGACGTGTCACAGAGAAATTACGTTACGGCTGTCGAATATTTAGGTTAGCTACAGGTCCCTAAGATGCACTCGAGCACACAGAACGAGAGAGAGAGAAAGACGGAAAGAGGAAAAATGAAACGAACTGGCACGAACAAACTTGCCGAACACTAAAAACAAAAGTTCTAAAATCGGGAAACGACGTATCACGATACGCGGGCACAGAAATTTGAGACACACGTCATTTTCTTTACGATATACTTTCCCTAAATGCTAAGCAAACCTCCTCTTCCGTGAGACTGACACAGCGAATGGCGAATCATTGCACACGTGCGCCACCTCGCGGAATGCGCCATTAACAAGTTGCAGCGTAATTGCCCGCGCGTTGTCTGCAATCTCGTTAACGTAAATATCAAGCTAATCAATAATATTTTAACGCGTTGCGATCTTTCGACATCGATATCTTTTTGTTTTAGAAGCCGTGGGGCGCCTGTAACAACGTTTAGTCCGTTCACTTTCGAGTTTCGTGAAAACTGCGTCAGAGTGCGGCGCAGTGTTCCGTAGGAAAATGCGTGCGAGTCGAATGAACTGAGCATGTGGAGCGACGCTATTGGCTGGATAGCGTTCGTCGAGTATGACGCACTCAGTTATTTTCAGTCTTCTGCTAGTCTATTTCCTTGGCGCGTATTTTAAGACATTCAAAGGACATCGTTATATTGTTATATAACTATTACTTTTATAATTTCATTTCGGCTACTTCGGTCCATGATTTACGATCAAATATGAATTTTCGCGCCGATCTGATATTTTGATTAATACGATGAATCGTTAATCAAATCGATCGATTGTTTAAGTCGTTCCGTTATATAACGACGTAGTCAGGTGCCGTAGATTGTATAAAATGTTTAAAACGTGTTACGTAACGAAGAAAGATTCTAATAAAGATTTCGTATTTTATATTAAAAATTATTCCGCATACAACCGATATAAACAAAAGATCTGGATTCGTTGTTACTTTTATCAAGCATATTTAGGTTATGTAACATATTAGTAGAAGCGTGCAATAAGCAACATTCACGACGAGTCTAAAATCGAGTTTACAACTTTCCACTGTTACAGCAACTGTAATTCATCGCGTCGCAATAACATTGGTCGTTAAAAGGAGCCGAGCATATCGGAATTATTTTAAACATCGTAAATTAGCAAGCTTTCACGACGCAGGAAACTACAGCAGATTCGCTTTAGTGCCGATAGACACAAATACTGAAAACAAGGACACTTTTATTAACCGATCTACTCGACGATAATTCGAAATTCCCGGGCAACCATCTTGCTCTGCGTCCCTAGTCATTCGATGACACGTTCTTAATATTACGTCGCACAGGAAAGGAAACAAAGAAAGAAAAAGAAGAAACGTAAAATGAAAACAAGACCGAGCATCAAGTCCGATCCATTCGTAAACCTCAAACCGACTATCGAAATACTTATTACCGCGAAACTTGTATCGACGAGTTTCCCTAAGTCACTGGATCGTCGCACGTTCAAGGTCAACGACGATTTAAAACCCGAATGGAGAGCAAAGGTCGTAGCCGGTGTAGCAAACGTCGAAGCCAAGGTTAGCTCTAAACTTAAGCGTGAATGGAAGAGCAGTGGTAGCCGGGAGAGTCGATTGGGGTTACGGTCGTCGAAATCGGTCATTAATGACTCCGTGTGTTCGGGACCAGTCTGTGATCCAGTTTCCACGAGTCCCGTAAACAAGGATTTCCGACGAATTTCCCAAAGAATTCCGAAGGTAAAATATTCCAAAGAGAGCTGAATGTCATGTTACGACCCCTTTCCCTTTCTCTCCGTCTCTCTATCTTCTCCTTACCCTGTCCGTTAGGAAAGGAAAAGAAATTCGCGCCAATTAACCCTTTCGACGCTACTGTACGCGAGTATCCCGCGATATGGAGTAACAGGAGCAAGTATCGATCATATCAAGAGTCACGGTTGGGAACTCGGAAAGAAGTGGCGCGCCAAAATGGACAGAGATGGTCGAGGCTGGTCGATTGGTCGCACGGGACTGCGGAACACTTGGGAACCGGTCCGAAACACCGGACGACCAGCTCGCCCGAACGCCCGGGACGCGACTAGCCGGCCAAATCGCGCGTGCCCCAGCGGACGATTTTAGCACATCTCTGACGACGACTTCCTAATTATTTTGGCACAGATGGCCAGCAGCCATTTCCCTGCCCCTCTGTCCAGCTCTCACTCGCACCAACTACACCTGTCTCTGTTCTACCGATTGCATCTCTTCCTCCTATCTACCGACATCTATCTCTATCCTCTCTTCTTTTCTTCCCTTTTTTTCCTACCGTTGCCAAGTACACGATTTTTTACTAACGCGTCTCCGTTTCGTTCATCTTCTGGGTTCTACTTTCGTTGACCTTCCACTTTCCAAGTTTACGCGCGATCTTCGCGAAAGCAAACACGTTCATCTAACTACGATCTCGTGATTTTGGCAATTAAATCCAAGTCTTTTAATCTCGTTTATTCCCTTTATTTCTTTTCCTCTTTGCTCTTTCTTCTGCGGGTAGTCGTAAAGGTACATAGACGCAGGCGGAGGCGGAGGAAGCAGAATACGAGGATAGGATGAATCATTTAAATTAAAACAGGCTTAAATGCTAATGGTATAATAGCGTTAGGTAATAGACTGGCGATGATATAATATTCGGGATGGTTGGCGGCGTGGCGGAACAGTTTCTATTTGAAGACGAGATGCAACACGGTGGACGGGCTATAAAGATAGGAAATGTAGTACGTTTGTTGGCAAACAAGTAGAGGTCGTGTTTGTAACGCGAGCCCCACATCGACACGTCCGATGAAGCAACATACGACGCTATGTTAGTTTGGCTGACTACTTAAGCTAACGATACACTTTGAAGTAACCAACAAACGTTGTACGTCGACTTCGCGTACATCACTAAATACTTCTGGCAACCCGAAACAGAGACCGTAGAACGCGAAAAATGATATTTCGACGTGCACAGGGGAACGTTACCAAATTTATCCTCGATCGTATCAACTCTTCCGAGCTATCTAATTTATCGAATTCCCTGTTAGATGCTAGCCTTAGAATTTCGCACAATCTCGGAACGGATTCGGTGGAAATAAAAATTTCCAAAAATTTCCAATTCCGCCAAGGAATCCCTTCGATCGTTATCAACTGGCTAGTCCATCGGTCACTGAACACGAAACGAAGCATCGAGGACGAGGCGATCAACACACATGCTATCCCTTGCGAAAAGTAGACGTTAGATACCGTTGAGGTACGATCTCTCACGCTGTCCATTAAAAGGTCCACAATAAAACGGTTCACGGCCGCTCTAGGCCAGTCCCTTTCAGCTTAATCCGTCACACAACACTTCTCGGTCGATCGTCCATGATTCGTTTTCTATCGCTGCCATGGATTTCATTTCACACTGTGTACATGTATCATCGTCACAAATGCACTATCAGGTGTCTGGGAAATCTGCTGTGTTCACCCGCTGGTGGTGCTCGCGCGGCAAGCAGACTTACCAATGCTTCTCTTCTTCGTATTCTTCCTTAGCTTCTTCTTTCACCGGATCCAATCCCTTCTGGTTGTGTCGCGGTGAAACGAAACCGGCACCGGTACTACGGCTGGGTCCCGGTCGCACTCTGCGATTCTGCGATCGGCCGCGCGAGTTTCGTGTACGACGAACCGGGGGTTGATAATAAAAAAAAAAAAGAAATAGAAAACGACGAGTGTGTCACACTGCGAAAACTTGCGAGGCTTCTCCGTTGATACGACGATCCCGTTACAGGCTCGCTACTCCTCCCTGAACATCGTACCGTGAGAACGCGCGGTTTCCTCTCTTCCTTTTGCTATCCTCTTTACATGAAGGGTGTCGAGGGCGAAAACAAACAAACATTCAAAGGGCAACGCCTGCGCTGCTGAACGAAACGAAGCGACGAACCTCGCCGAAATTCCTTTAAATAGTCCGTAGGCGTCGCTACCTGGCGGCGAGACACCGAACGAGGGAAACTCTGGCCGGAAGCCAGTGGTCCCGGCGGCGGCCGCACAGCCTCCCGGTTCGCTTGTCGTCGTAGTTTTTTCCATTTAACCTTCGAATTTGACCAGCAGGCATACGGATTCGGGAACTAGCTCACGCCGCCTGCTACCACGAGCCGCGAATTTTCCACCGATCGCAGAACCTTGCTCCTCGGCAGACTTTCTCCGCCGACTTCCGCTACCAGGACACCACGCTCCGCATCGCGGATATCCTGTGCAAATTTCTCGCAACCCTCCGTCTCGCCTATGTTTTCTCCTTCGAATTCGTTTCTTCTCTCAGAAGAATCCTCGGAAGAGTCATTTAACCATAACAGAGGACACGCCTTCTCTC